GGTAGGAGTGTTCATTTTAACAGCAATCACAGAGAGCAATGTACTGATTTTCTACTGCTCCCCTAACAAACCACCGCAAACTTGGCGACTGAAAAATATGTTTATTGTCTTACAGTTCTGTAAGTCAGAAGTTCATCATGGGTCTCACCAGGCTACGATCAAAGTATCAGCTGGGCCGCATCCCTTTCAGGAACTTGGCAGGAGAGCGTGTCCTGCCTTCCCCAGTTCCTGGAGGCTGCCCTTACTAACGTGGCTAGGGGCCCCTTCTTCCATCTTCACAGCAGCAATACTGAATGTCTCTGACCTCCTGCTGGCACGTCTCTCTGACAGCCTCTCTACTTTTAAGAATTCCTGTGAGTAAACTGGATTCACCCAGATAATCTAGGATAATTCTAGGGGCCCCTTCTTCCATCTTCACAGCAGCAATACTGAATCTCTCTGACCTCCTGCTGGCACGTCTCTCTGACAGCCTCTCTACTTTTAAGAATTCCTGTGAGTAAACTGGATTCACCCAGATAATCTAGGATAATCTCCCCATCTCAGGGTCCAAAACCTTAAGTCACATCTGCAACATAGTCACAAATTTCAGGGGTTGGGACACAGACACCTTATTATGCTGCCACAAACAGAAATAACAACAAGATAAGCATTTTTTCATTACTTCTCTCCAGAATAAATATAACTTAAGGATTTTTGTCATAGGGATTATATATAGGGAAAGTATGTGGTAAATCATGAAGCCCAAATGAACCTGTATACCTATTCAAACTCATGATCATGACATAACAAATTATTTCAACAGTCCAGGGATACTGTATGCAATCCAACACCTTTTTTTCAGTGGACACTCCAGTTTCAATGATCCCTTTCCTGGCATCATTTCCCTTCATTAAAATAAACAGGTATTTAAATTCTAAGTTCAAAATACAAGAAAAAAAGTTTTAACTATTTCATAACACTGTAAACAAATTCTAAATTTCTTCAAAACATTGTGAAATTTAAAAATAGCATTTATAAAAAAATAAGAGTTGTATAAGGTATTTGTTCAGGTACTCAGAATTTAAAATAAATACTGTTATTCAAAAAGTTCCTAATCATCCAAAGAGAGGAAAAACCCATTATTATATAGTATGCAGACGGCTAGACACTATGAATGGTCTTTAGGTCCCAGAGATCTAAGTAATTACATTTTTCAAACCAGAAGTTATGTGTATACTGTAAATAAAGGTATTTTCTGACTTTTTACTTTCATTGCTGTCGTCCACTCAGTCGTGTCCAACTCTTTGCGACCCCATGGACTGCAGCATGCAGGCCTCCCTGTCCTTTACCATCTCCCGGAGTTTACTCAAACTCATGTCCACCGAGTCAGTGATACCATCCAACTGTCTCATTCTCTGTCATCCCCTTCTCCTCTTCTCTTCAATCTTTCCCAGCATCAGGGTCTTTTCTAATGAAACTGCTCTTTACATCAGGTGGCTAAAATATTGAAGCTTCAGCTTCAGCATCGGTCCTTCCAACGAATATTCAGGATGGATTTCCTTTAGGATGGACTGGTTGGATCTCCTTGCAGTCCAAGGGACTCTCAAGAGTCTTCAACACAACAGTTTGAAAGCATCAATTCTTTGGTGCTCAGCCTTCTTTAGGGACATTCTAGTTTATCTGTATAAAAAGTACCACTACCAGGTGGCTCAGTAGTAAAGAACTCACTTGCCAATGCAGGAGACACAGGAGACACAGGTTTGATCCCTGGGTAGGGAAGATTCCCTGGAGAAGAGAATGGCTACCCACTTCAGTATTCTTGCCTGGAAAATTCCACAGACAGAGGAGCCCGGCGGGCTACAGTCCGCGGGGTCACAAAGAGTTGGACAGGACTGAGCAGAGACTGCGCACACATGTAAAATAAATATATATCACTTAAAATGAAAAGATCACTCTGCCTGTGTCTGATAAACAAATGTACCTTTCTAAAGTAAAAAAAAACAAAGGCAAAACAAAAAACCTCTCCTGCAAATTGAAGGTCAGTTTATAATCTGCAGCTAAATGCTATGTCTTATAACAAGCAATTCTGGAGTCTGAGAAGTTTTCTATCCAACAAAACTAAAGTTGGAAAAAGGAAGACCTGTCCAGAGACAAGGGTCAACTTTGCCAAAACAAAGTTTCCACATTTTTTAATGCACAAAAATTAAAATGAATCTGCAAGACACACTGATTCATAAATAAAATATGCTTCATTTTTGTTTTCCTATAAAATTTCCCTGAAGCAGACAACTAATTTTCTGTGGAGAAACCAAATATGTGTATCTTTTCATAGTTGTATATGACTTAATACTAAATATTTATTTACCTAACTAAAGTTTCAGACCACCTTTAAATAACCACAGCTATTAATTCCTGTAATATGCAACATGAATATTTTTGACCAATTCTGTTTTGTGTAGAGTCCCAGATTAAATGAAGCTTGTCAACTCATTTTGTAAAGTGAAAATAGAGCCGAGTAATTTAAAACTAAGGTTGTTTTTTAATCCTGACCAGAAATTAACGCAAGGGGCACTTTAAGAAATAGGACAAATGATCCCAAACAAACAGACTGTGCTCCAAAAGTTTAGTCATAAGCTAAAATGACTTTCCAACCAGAAATGACTATCAGATGCCAAGCTAGCCTATATGCATCTAATCAATAACAATTAATAATTATTAATCAAGTTGACTAATAATAGTTAATAGCAGCAAATGGTAAATAAAAATTCACAGAAAATGCACTATACTTCTCAAAGAGATAAAAATAATGAAAAACTACTATGAATGCTAAATATTGATATGTTAGGAACTAGTGTTTAATGTACTCTAATTAAACTTACAAATAAACTCTGAAAAGAAATATCAGCCACTTCTTCGAATCAGGTACCTGAATCTTCAAGTACCTGAAGAAAATTACCTCAAATTTTCTCTGCTTTAAGTATGCTGCTTAGCATCACTCTTCTTTACCAACTTGGATTAAATAACAATGTTTAAAACACTTCACACAGGTCTGGCATAAAGTTAGTTCTATAAATTATATAGTTAGGAATTATTTGAGGCTCACAGTAACTGGGGAGCAATTTGAAGAGAAGGCAACAAATAGAGAGGACGAATATACAGCTATGCAAAAAAAAAAAAAAAGAGAGAGAGAGAGAAAATTACCTGAGATAGTATTAACTACAGTACTTTCTAATCTTATTTTCTAAAAAATCTGGGCTTGAAGTTCCTGGAGGCCAGAACTAGGCAATGGAGTCAAAAGGTCACTCCTTGTTTATAGGTTTGGAGCAAAAGTTAGCCAAGACCACTGCAGGTGAAAGTGACCTTGTGAAGCAGCACCAGCCCAGAAAGCAAGTGGAAAACAAGAACTGACTTGTAAACAGTGCTGCAATGAATACTGGGTACATGTGTCTCTTTCAATTCTGGTTTCCTCGGTGTGTGTGCCCAGCAGTGGGATTGCTGGGTCATATGGCTGTTCTATTTCAAGCTTTATAAGGAATCTCCACACTGTTCTCCATAGTGGCTGTACTAGTTTGCATTCCCACCAACAGTGTAAGAGGGTTCCCTTTTCTCTGTACCCTTTCCAGCATTTATTGTTTGTAGACTTTTTAATAGCAGCCATTCTGACCCGCGTGAGATGGTACCTCATTGTGGTTTTGATTTGCCTTTCTCTGATAATGTTGAGCATCTTTTAGCCATCTGTATGTCTTTACGCTGTTTACAATAGCCAGGACATGGAAGCAACCTAGATGTCCATCGGCAGATGAATGGATAAGAAAGCTGTGGTACATATACACAATGGAATATTACTCAGCAATTAAAAAGAATGCATTTGAATCAGTTCTAATGAGGTGGATGAAACTGGAGCCTATTTTACAGAGTGAAGTAAGTCAGAAACAAAAACACCAATATAGTATATTAACGCATATATATGGAATTTAGAAAGATGGTAACAATGTCCCTATATGCAAGACAGCACAAGAGACATAGGTGTAAAGAACAGACTTTTGGACTCTGTGGGAGAAGTTGAGGGTGGGATGATCTGAGAGAATAACATTGAAACATGTATATTATCATATGTGAAACAGATCGCCAGTCCAGGTTGGATGCATGAGACAGGGTGCTCAGGACCGGTGCACTGGGACAGCCCTGAGGGATGGGATGGGGAGGGCGGTGGGAGGGGGGGTTCAGGATGGGGACACATGTACACCCGTGACTGATTCATGTCAATGTATGGCAAAAACCACTACAATATTGTAAAGTAATTAGCTTCCAATTAAAATTAAAAAAAAAAAAGAACTGACTCGTAAATGTGTAAGCAGACAGATGAGTCCACTGTGGGGGTGAAGGCTAATGCGCCCGGCATGGGGCTGCGTGGGCAGCCTCTCTAGCACAGCCTTGCCAAGCCTGAGGACCAGGCTGTTTAAAGGACGAATCGGTTTCACAGCTGTGAGGACATGAAGACATGGGCAGAGAATGGCAAGCGCTTGGTCTTATGAAAGGAAGAAGTAAAGGGCAGGGTCATCGTTGCATTAATCCAGTGGTTCACAAGCGTCAATGGCCCAAGATTAGAATGTCTTAGGCATGCCTTTAAAATGCAGAGTCCTAGCCCCCATCGTTAAAGATTCAGATTGAATAGGTCTCAATGATGATAATATTCAGTCGAATATAGGCATTCAATAGATTAACCTGTGGAGTAAAATTTAATTACAGAATATTATCAATTTGTACTATCTTACAAAGTAACACTGTGAAGCTGATGATTCAGAAAAGCTACATATATAAATTATACCACCCATTTTCACACAATAAATAATTTATGTAAATAGATGAAACACTTTAAAACCACAGATTCAAAGCAAGTGACATACAGCTTCTTCAAATTAATATAAATGGCTTTTTGAAAAAATAAAATAGGAAACTGTACTTTCAAGTCTCCAAATTTGGAATTCTGAAATTATATCTGAATTGATACTATAAAGAAAACAAGACACCACTTTTGTTTTTATTTAAGAAAAGTTCATCTTTTTAGCATAAATGAAGGAATTGCATGATCGATTAAATATTGTCAGCATTGTTTTTGAAAAATTTCCACTCACTTTTTAAATGCAGCCTTACACTTGAGAGTTTTGGATTCTACAGACTTATCCATTAGCAGTCTGTGCTGTGCTTAGTCACTCAGTCGTGTCCAGCTCTTTGCAACCCCAGGGACTGTAGCCCACCAGGCTCCTCTGTCTATGGAGGTTCTCCAGGCAAGAGTACTGGAGTGGGCGGCCATGCCCTCCTCTAGGGGATCTTCCCAACCCAGGGTGATCCCCTGGGTCTCCCACACTGCAGGCGGATTCTTTACTGTCTGAACAACCAAGGAAGCCCAATTAGCAGTCCAGGACTCACCTAACATTTATATTATGCTTCTTCAACAGAATCCAAGATGAACCACTAGTAAAACAGATGATAAGATTATCTGGATATTGGATGAATTGGTCTGCTGAACTCTAGAATTCACAGAAGGAATTAAAACTTTTAATTTGTTTTTTAACAAATAAAACTCTGCACTGTGCTAATCTCATTTTGCATATAATTTAGCAAATGGCTATTAAGGCTTTATTGTAAGGGATTACAAAAAAAAAAGTACTATTGTGCACCATGCAAGATACAGAAAATATGATTCATAAATAACTAACGAACTACTAAGGGAATCATGGTTTTTCCTTTCATTATAGACTTCCCAAATCAAAAATGTTTTCAAATTAAAGTTATATTAAGAGTTTATGGAAAATTACATCCCTAGCTTAAGAACTAAACGTCTTTAGATTTTAAAAAGAAATGGATGATTGTAACTATAGCTTTTTAAACTGTTGCTTTGGGGGAAAGTCTTGATTCTTTCTTTCTTTATTTCTAGTAGCTTTTTCTTTGCCTGCTTACTATAAAATAAAGCACTGTTATTGTGAGGACAATTTCTGATTCAGTTCCAATGCTCTTGCATCTCCGTGAGTTTTGGCATTGTTTACCAGCACCTGTGGGAAATCACAGACAGGAACATTAGTATTCTCTTTATTAACAATACCTATATCTAGATTCATAGAAACGAAGTAAGCCATAGGGCAGTAGGCAACATCAAACTACACAAGAAGAACTGACTCTGTGCAACCTTTCAGTCATTTTTGCTGAAATAAATTTCAAAGCTAACATAACATAAGCACTATTTATTCAAATACTCAATAGAAGAGATGTCAACATTCTGATTGTTACCACTGACAGTGGTGCATAATGTTAAAGGTTTTGATTGGAGGCTTTTTTTTACAACACTGTCACCTCTGAACCCATACCTCAAAGACCATTTTATGCACAGGGCTGTCCAAATGATACTGCTCTCCTTTAAAACCACAGCTTAAGATCAAGGCTTGAGGTTCTAAGTTAAATTAAGAACCTTTCCATAATTTTCACCAATGCCACAAACTAGAAGCTTTGATTTCTGTTGCTCATTCGATTACTAAAACATTTTTTGGTTGCTCATTTTCAAACACTGAGAAGGGTCTGAGATGTTGTTCTATTTGCACACTAACAAGTTAGCCTGCCATAGTTTCATAAATACTGCCGGAAGACAGGGGACACGTGGGTCAGAGACAAATGTCTTTATCATTCAGGGTGTAGCAAATGACATAAGTATCATTATACCTGCATCCATTCCCCTCACCCTCTAAGTCTCACAGGGCTGACATGTATGGATGTACATGGTTTCCCCCACACACAGTAAGTTGCATCACAAGAGGGGAACCCTGAGCCTAGGAGACATGACTCTTTTATAACTGGCAGTAAACATGCCTACTCTGTGCTCTAGAGGGAGATACTTATCTCTTCTCCCAAGGCTGTGGGTTTTAAAAAAAAAAAAAAAGCTTCTCATTATTTTTCATTGTGTTTTTAAAACTGTTGGCTGAAGCTGTAAGAATTTAGACCCAATACATGTCTTACACACTCTATCTTTTTAAAAAGAATCCACACACACAGCTGACCCTTAAACAGTATGTGGACTGGGGATGAAGACCCTCTATATGCTCAAAATTTCACATACAACTCATAGTCAGCCACCCATGTAGGCCCTTGGTATCCGTAGATTCAACTAATCAAGGGTCATGGAGTACTGTAGTATACACTACTGAAAAAAATTTGAGTATAAGAGGAATCACACCATTTAACTATGTATTCTTCAAGAGGCAACTGTATATGTTTACATATTTAGAAACCAGAGCCATCCCATAACTGGAGCAGAAACTGCCATGTGCATTTTATTGCAGAGACAACAAGAAGCAAGCCAATTTTTCCAAAGACAGTATGAACATCCCATTAACTTCCGCTACTTCCAAACCTCTCTACTGCCTCCTCTGCATTGGTTACAAGAAACACTACAACCAGAACCCAGGACCTCCGTCTGTCTTTTCTTATGCTACCTAGCACTTCAGAAGAGTGTATTTCCTATACGTTAAATCGGTGGTTCTCAACTAGGGGTGATGACACCTGGGGTATTACTTGGCAATGTCTAGAAGACATTTTCAGCTGCTGCAAGCTGGGTGGAGGACATTGCTACTGGCATCCTGTGGTTAGGGATGCTGGTTAGGCAACCCGACCACTGGATCCAACCTACAAAGCACAGGACAGCAACACTCAGCCCTCATACAACAAAGGGCCATGATGAAATCTTTTTAACAAAACTGGGGTCTTACATCAATGAGCTCGTAGTCATTTTTGGCATGTAAGTGTCTCAGAAGGTACCAACGTGCTGTTGAAACAATAGATTTGGGATACCCAGGCTGATATACAACTCTCTCCAAAAGTCGCCGTGTCTCTCTGGGGAAAAAGATACTCACTTTTAGTCCAAAGCATATAAACTAAGACACTTCATCTACTAGTCTCATACACACATATTATCTTTCTCATTCTTCTGCAGACGACCTGCTGATTACTTCATAAAATTTTTATATGTGTAACAAAAAGGGTAATAATAATGGCTAACATTTATTAACTATTTATTATGTCCTATGCAGTAGTATGCCAAATGTTTTACACATATGGTCACACTTGACATTTACATCCTTGTAATGATGGGTGCTGCTATTACTCTCATTTTGCAGACAAATAAGGCTCTTTCCAAAAAGAATGGGGAAATGACCAATTTTATGAGCACTTCTGACTGCTCTATTTCTAATCCTTCTTGAAAGCCCTGGCAGAAAATAAATGATACAAAGATAATATACACTGGAACAATTAGAAATATTTAACATCTACAATAGAGGTTAAGTGTCCAATATGAGGTTTTTACCATATGCTTTCATGTACTAAACCTGTACAGTATGTGAACTTTTGTAATAACAGGCTGATTTAGAGTTGTGTTCTAATTTCTTCTTTCCAATTTTACTAATATTTATGACTCCAAAGATTTCTGTAAGGGTAGAAATAACACAAATTGTGGTAACTTCAGAACTGCTGAACAAGAAGATTTTGTAAGTAGCAAATGGTTAGAAGGAAGAGCTAAAGAACTTGTTCTTAATATGTGTTTACATAGGAATCAATAGCAAAGCAGTATGTTTATTTGAGCTGATTTTGGCTGCTGCTCACAGAGATTACAGGGGGCTGGGAGTTAAGGCTCTCTAAGTCAGGAGATCCAACCAGTTCACCCTAAAGGAAATCAGTCCAGAATACTCATTGGAAGGATTGATGCTGAAGCTGAAACTCCCAACACTTTGGCCACCTGATGTGAACAACTGACTCATCTGAAAAGACCCCAATGCTGGGAAAGATTGAAGGCAGCAGAAGGGGACAACAGAGGATGAGATGGTTGGATGGCATCACCAACTCAATGGACATGAGTTTGAGTAAACTCCAGAAATTGGTGATGCACAGGGAGGCCTGGCATGCTACAGTCTATGGGGTCGCAAAGAGTTGGACACGACTGAGCAACTGAACTGAACTGAAGTCATGTATACTGAGCTTCAGCAGAAAGAGTTCATTAGGAATTTCAAATTACAGCCTAAAACATTTCTTGGTGAAACTAGTCATATAAAAAAAATAGCAAAATAAATATATAACAGAAATGAAGATGGGACTGCTAATTAGTCATAGGTCTTTAACTCTTCTTTCACTCCTATTTCGTGGTGTTGATGTGACCTTTGCCACATATTTGTGTGTTCAGCTCTATGTCTACAATACCTAATTCTGTTCCAGTAATATATGCTCCTAAACGACTGTTTTACTTACGCTTTGAATTATGTGTGATACCCATTAGACTAGATATTGCTCTCAGAATTTCAAAATATTCTTGCCTGTTTTTTCATCCATACAAAGCTTAAGTGATTTTCTTCAAATTTATTTCTGACCGCACCCCCCACTTCCAAAGAAAAGATCGCTAAAATTTCTACATTTAATTCTGTGAAGCTTCTGGATTTTCTAGGGATAAAAACCACATTATTTACAATGTCTCTGCCTTTTCAATATTTACTACTTTTTTCATAGCTTATTGTGCTCTGCAAGAACTTATGTCAATCTAGCTTTGAACTTGAGCCTTTTGGATTTTGCTTGTTACTAGAATCCACATTTACACTGTTCTCTCATCCTAAAACACTTAAGACCAAAAAATACCAAGGCCTTCTTCACCTGAAAAGCTATCATGCAAATCTCTCATATTCTATACCTGTGTACCAAATTACTTTTTTAAAAAAATTGTAAGACTTTATTTTCTTCCTTATTGGGTTATTAGAATCAGCCTTTCCAAAGTAGAAATATATATATGAATAACATCAAAGTTTGTTAAATTCATTCTGAACTTTTGTTTCCTAGAAGGGTAAAACTGAAGAAACATTTTAAGAAAAAGATGAACAAAGATTCTTTATACCTTGCTCCCATTTTGCGTTTGAATTGTAACAAAGCTTGTAAAAGGACAGCCAGTGGACAAAAGCAAAGTTTCAGGGCCTCAGCTGTAGCTTCTTGAACCAAGGATGGCCAGTGATCATTGGAAACATTAGCCTATAAAAATAAAACACAAATATTAAATAATTGTGCTCATTTAACATGCTAGGAAGGTAATGCTCAAAATCTTTCAAGCTAGGCTTCAGCAGTACACCCAGAACTTCCAGATGTAAAAGCTTGGTTTAGAAAAGGCCAGTGATCAAACAGCCACCATCCGCTGGATCACAGAGAAAGCAAGGGAATTCCAGAAAAACATCTGTTTCATTGACTAAAATTTTTGACTGTGTGGATCACAACAAACTATGGGAAATTCTTAAAGAGATGGGAATACTAGACCACCTTACCTGCCTCCTGAGAAACCTGTATGCAGGTCAAGAAGCATCAGTTACAACTGGACATGCAGCAATGGACTGGTTCAAAATTGGGAAAGGAGTACGTCAAGGTTGTATACTGTCACCCTGCTTATTAACATTTATGCAGAGTACATTATGCGAAATGCCAGGCTGGATGAGTCACAAATTAGAATCAAAATTGCCAGGAGAAATATCAATAACTTCAGACATGCAGGGACTTCCCTGGTGGCTCAGAGGGTAAAGTATCTACCTACAATGCGGGAGACCTGGGTTCAATACCTGGGTCAGGAAGATCCCCTGGAGACGGAAATGGCAACCCACTCCAGTGTTCTTGCCTGGAGAATCCCATGGAAGAAGCCTGGTAGGCTACAGTCCATGGGGTCGCAAAGAGCTGGACACGACTGAGCAACTTCACTTTCACTTTCAGATATGCAGATGTTACCACTCTAATGGTAGAAAGCAAAGAGGAACTAAACAGCCTCTTCATGAAGGTGAAAGAGGAAAGTGAAAAAGCTGGCTTAAAACTCAACGTTCAAAAAACTAAGAACACAGCATCCAGTCCCATCATTTCAAGGCAAATAGATGGGGTAAAAGTAGAAACAGGGACAAATTTTATTTTCTTGGGCTCCAAAATCCTTGTGGGTGGTGACTGCAGTCATGAAATTCAAAGACACTTACTCATAGAAAGGAAAGCTATGACAAACCTAAACAGCATATTAAAAAGCAGCGGCATTACTTTGCCAACAAAGGTCTGTATAGTCACAGTTATGGTTTTCCCAATAGTTACGTACAGATGTGAGAGTTGAACCATAAAGAAGGCTAAGTTCCGAAGAATTGATGCTTTCAAATTCTGGGGCTGGAAAAGACTCTTGAGAGACCCTTGGACTGCAAGGAGATCAAACTAGTCAATCCTAAAGGAAATTAACCCTGGATATTCATTGATAGGACTGATGCTGAAGCTGAAGCTCCAATATTGTGGTCACCTGATGTGAAGAGTTGACTTACTGGAAAAGACCCTGATGCTGGGAAAGACCAAAGGCGGGAGAAGGGAACCACAGAGGATGATAAGGTTGGATGGCATCACCAACTCAATGGACATGAGTTTGAGCAAACTCTGGGAGGTAATGAAGGATAGGGATGCATGGCATCTCAAAGAGTCATACACAACTTAGCGACTAAACAACGACATTACATCATCAGACATTTGACGTTTACCTTAAAAAATACAATCAGCTCTTACCTGTTGAGTGTCCAAGTTGCCACATAAATGCGACAGGGAGTGAAATTCTACAAAATTATTAAGACCTGATTTCTGACCTTAGGGAACTACAAAACAAGGCTGACAGGGATTAAGGGAGGATTCAAGAAGGAGATACCATTTTTAAAACACTAAAATATTTGCTAAAAGAAAACAGAGTATTCTATGGGTGAATGAAATCTATCAATTACTAAGCTTCTGGTCTACCAAATATACAAAACTTAATTATTTAACTGGTAATGATAAAGTTCCACATTTCAAAAATTATCTAAGGAGAGAAGAAAGCTTAAAGTGAAATACGTTAATAAAATCTCAATATAGGGAAAAAAAGTGCAAAGCCAATTAGAGATAAATAAAAGTCAGCAATTTTAAAAATTTTATTCAGAATTTTGTTATATGGGGAAAATGATAAGATTACTTCAGTTGCAAACTTTAGTTTCTTATAGTATGTACTGAGTCAGAAATAACATAGATAAGTATTTCCTAAGAAACAGTAACTAAAAATAAAACGGTGAACACTCTACTAAATTATACAAGAAGAAAAGGCATTTAAAATCTTTTATTAAAAACCTCTGTAGTTCAGTCGCCCCATCGTGTCTGACTTTTTGCAACCCCATGCACTGTAGTTCCTTTCAAATGCTAAATTATTCTTTTCAAATGTTACAGCAATAAACTCTGAGTTCATACAGCCAATAGTAATGTGTGTAATCAAGGAAGGGGAAGTCATAGGGATAATGAATGTGAAAATAGAGACCAGAGGTTGTGAGACATTTTCCATAAAGATGGGACCAATGACAACTTGCTTCCATCTGGCAAAGAATGTAAGGCAAAGCCCATACTAATAAAATTATTCCTAGTACATTTTTAAAAAACCAATAGCACAAAACTCTCACTGGGTGGTTTTACAATGCACTGTCTAAATACCAAGAATTTATATAAAGTATTGTGTAAAGTTAGTGCATGTATGGGTTGGCCAAAAAATTCATTCGAGTTTTTCTATGTTATAAAAAGAAAGCTAAGCACCAAAGAATTGATGCTTTTGAACTGTGGTGTTGGAGAAGACTCTTGAGAGTCCCTTGGACTGCAAGGAAATCCAACCAGTCCATCCTAAAGGAAATCAGTCCTGAATGTTCATTAGAAGGACTGATGTTAAAGCTAAAACTCCAATACTTTGGCCACCAGATGAGAAGAGCTGACTCACTTGAAAAGACCCTGGTGCTGGGAAAGAATGAAGGCAGGAGAAGGGGATGACAGAGGATGAGATGGTTGGAAGGCATCACCAACTCAATGGACATAAGTGAGTAAACTCCGGGAGTTGGTGATGGACAGGGAGGCCTGGCATGCTGCAGTTCATGGGGTCGCAAAGAGTCGGACACGACTGAGCAACTGAACTAAACTGAACTGATGTTATGAAAAAATTCAAATGAACTTTTAGGTCAACCCAATGTTACTATATAATAGTTTCTGTATGTGCATGCTGTGCGTGTTTAGTCGCTCAGTTGTGTCTGACTCTTTTTGAGACCCTATGGATTGTAGCCCACCAGGCTCCTCTGTCTGTGGGTTTTCCCAGCAAGGACACTGGAGTGGGTTGCCATTTCCTTCTCCAGGGGATCTTCCTGACTCGGGGATCGAACCTACATCTCCTGCACTGGCAGGCAGATTCTTTACCGCTAAATAACTAGGGAAACCCTTCCATATGTAACCAGTATATTAAACAATGTGATTGGAATAAACTTTTTAAAAAATATACAGAAATATTTCCCTGCGCCAGATCTTAACTGCCACATACAGGATCTCTGATCTTTAGCTGTGGCATGTGAACTTAGTTGCAGTGTGTGGGATCTGGTTCCCTGACCAGGGATGCAACCCAGATCCCCTGCTTTGGGAGCATGAAGTCTTAGCCACTGGATAACCAGGGAAGTCCCTAGGATGCACTTACTTATGTTTCCCATTATGGTTTTAAAAGTTATTATTTAAGGGAAACTTTTCCTTATACAGTAAGGATGTAAATTACAGTAGGTCCCATGACTCTGAAGAACTATACACAGAAAAAGTGAAAGTGAAAGTGAAGTCACTCAGTTGTACCCAACTCTTTTCCACCCCATGGACTGGCTCCTCTGTCCATGAGATACACAGAAGACCTATACAAAAAAGGTCTTAATGGCCCAGATAACCACGATGGTTTGATCATTCACCTAGAGCCAGACATCATGGACTGCAAAGTCAAGTGGGCCTTAGGAAGCATCACAAAGAACAAAGCTAGTGGAGGTGATGGAATCCCAGCTGAGCTATTTCAAATCCTCAAAGATGATGCTGTGAAAGTGCTGCACTCAATATGCCAGCAAACTGGAAAATCAGCAGTGGCTACAGGATTGGAAATGGTCAGTTTTCATTCCAATCCCAAAGAAAGGCAGTGCCAAAGAATGTTCAAACTACCACACAACTGCACTTGTTTCACACGCTAACAAAGTAATGTTGAAAATTCTCCAGAGAGGCTTCAACAGTATGTGAACCAAGAACTTCCAGATGTTTAAGCTGGATTTAGAAAAAGCAGAGGAACCAGAGATCAAATTGCCAACATCCACTGGGTCATAGAAAAAGCAAGAGTATTACAGAAAAATATCCACTTCTGCTTCATTGACTACACTAAAGCCTTTGACCATTTGGATCACAACAAACTGTGGAAAATTCTTAAAGAGATGGGAATACCAGATCACCTTACCTGTCTCCTCTGAAATCTGTATGCAGGTCAAGAAGCAACAGTTAGAACTGTACATGGAACAATGGACTAGGGTTCCAATTTGGGGAAGGAGTACATCAAGGCTGTATATTGTCACCCTGATTATTTAACTTATATGTAGAGTACATCATGAGAAACGCCAGACTGGATGAAGTGCAAGCTAGAATCAAGATTGAGGGGAGAAATATCAATAACCTCAGATATGCAGATGACACCAGAAAGCAAAGCGGAACTAAAGAGCCTCTTGATGAAAGTGAAAAAGGAGAGTGAAAAAGCTGGCTTAAAACTCAACATTCAAAAAACTAAGATCATGGCATCTGGTCCCATCACTTCATGGCAAATAGATGGGGAAACAATGGAAACAGTGACAGACTTTATTTTCTTGGGCTCCAAAATCACTGCAGATGGTGACTGCAGCTATGAGATTAAAAGACGCTTGCTACTTGGAAGAAATGCTATGACAAACCTAGACAGCATGTTAAAAAGCAGAGACATTACTTTGCCAACAAAGGTCTGTCTGGTCAAAGCTATGGTTTTTCCAGGGGTCATTTTCAACTCCATATAGAGTTGGACCATAAAGAAGGCTGAGCACTGAAGAATTGATGCTTTTGAACTGTGGTGCTGGAGAAGACGCTTGAGAGTCGCTTGGACTGCAAGGAGATCCAATCAGTGCATCCTAAAGGAGATCAGTCCTGTGTGTTCATTGGAAGGACTGATGTTGAAGCTGAACCTCTAATACTGTGGCCACTTGATGCAAAGAATTGACTCACTGGAAAAGACCCTGATGCTGGTAAAGACTTAAGGAAGGAGAAGGGGACGACAGATGGGATGGCATCACGGACTCAATGGACACGGGTTTAGGCAAGCTCCGGGAGATGGTGAAGGACAGGGATGCCTGGCATGCTGCAGTTCATGGGGCCACAAAGAGCTGGACACGACTGAGGGACTAAAAAAGAAACATGACTCTGACATCCATTCACAGTCTTAATTAGAAAGTTCTCTTCTTTTCAAAACTTCAATCTTCATTCAAAGATAATATTTACACCCTACTCCCATCTCCTCAGCTCCTAGCTAGCGTGTGCTTACAGGCAGCAGCACATGGCTTGTTGCTCTGTCCAGCACTCCCACCTTTTCTTGCTAAATGTAGTTTCCAGCCTCAGCTGAAACGTCAAAAGTTTGATGGGTGTCATTGTAAGGTGAGGGCTTCCCTGGTGGCTCAGAGGGTAAAGAATCTGCCTGCAATGCAGGAGACCAGGGTTTGATCCCTGGGTTGGGAAGATCCCCTGGAGAAGGAAATGGCAACCCACTCCAATATTCTTGTCTGGAGAATCCCATGGACAGAGGCGATTGGAAGAGTATAATCCTTGGGGTCACAAAGAGCTGGACACAACTGAGTGGCTTTAAGAATTCCTCCTCAATTGTAAGGTGATGTCTGATTCCTTAGGCGTGATAGACACTTAAAGATCTTTGTCTCTTCAACTGAATTTTCCTGCTTTTATCAGAGACTCCCAGCTTTGTGGGTAGTCTGTTACTGCAGAGCCGGCTCTGCAATCTGTGGGGTTCAATGCAAAAAACACAACATGCAGGGCCCTTTGTTAAAAAATGATTAAACATGTCAGCATGGAGACTACAGAGCACTAAACCCAGGGGGAGGCCCGTGCACAGGACAGGACGCTCGGCTCCAGGACGCTGGGTGAGTAGGCTCTGTTCCACTTCCTCTCTTCACATGCTCTGGCAATCTGGAGACCTCTAGCTTCCTTTCTGCTGAGATCCCACCACTCCTCCAGGTGGCTCTGCATGTCAGGACCTAAGATAATTCCCGTCTGGTCCACCAGCTCAGGTGGCATCACCCATTCCTGGATCGAACAAACTCCAGGAGTGCTGCCCACCTCACACTGCGGCAACTCTTTCGTAAGACGGAGGGCATCTTGCAGCCAAGCATGCACTCCTAACTACCTTTGGGATTCACCCACTGCTGACCACTCTCTCCCAGAAGCAGGCAGTTTCCAAACCATGAGCAACTCTCTTCCCAGCAGGTGGAGAGCTGCAGTTTTCAAGGCACACATCAGACACCTATCCACATGCTTCTGAACACGTGCCTGCAGGACCTCCGAAGCCACACATCACAGCCTCCCTCTCTCTGGCGGCACCCCCTTCCTCGCCTGGGGGGCACCTGTGTGTGTGGGGATGTGCCAGGGAGATGATGGGGGAGGCAACAGCTTTCTCCAGAATGATTTCTTCACAGTCCTCCAACTCTACTCCCCTAATCTTTGTATAGCTTCCTTATGGGTTAAGTCTTCTACCTGCTTCAGAAATCTGTATCTTGATTTGCTATCTCTCTTTGGAATCTAAAATATTTAATATCTTAGCAGAACCTTTCAGTTTAATAATCTATTCATATATTATCACACATAAAACAGCCTAATTTTCATATATACATCCTCCGTACACTGCCAGCTATTTACCAGAGAAATACATCTCCTTACAATAACTGGTGAGTATCAAATCTTATAACAAGCAAATCAAATGTGGACAGCACTTTGAAGTTTACAAAGGCATTTGTGTTACTTCATTTGATATTCCTAACAAACCTAGGCAAAGTAGTCATTACCATCTCCACTATTACCAAAAAAGTTAGGAGGGGAGTTCCAGACAGCTTCGTTGGCTGAGTTTTCACAGGCAGAACCAAAGCTCCCAGAGAAAGCACTTTTTTGGCGGCAGCAGTGGTGGGGGGATGGAGGCAGGTACACATGGGTATTACTAAACTGTAATCTAATCTCACCATCTGAAAAACAGGATTCTTATGAATATTAATGAAGTTAATACATATAAAGCACTAGAACAGAACCTAGCACAGGCTAAGTGTTCTGTACGTTTGCTATTATTATTGCTGTTTTTATTTTATTCCAGGTCAGATTTAATTTCCCAGCATGAAGAACAAACAAACAAAAAAAACCACATCACTAAATAATTCTTCTTAACAAAAAAATGATGTTAGACTAAAAGGGCTAAAGAATAAGTTAGACTAAAAGGGCTGAAAAAGAGTAAAAGGGCTAAAACAAAAAATAAAAGTTAGACTTCTCCCCATGTTCCTGAATGTGTCACATGTTGCTTCCACAGCCCACCAGCTACCAATATCACGAAGACTTTTGTTAAATATAAATATGGGGCAAACAAAACATCATCTTCAGTGGCCCACAATTACCATTAACCACCATTTCTTTCTAGCCAAATTATCTCAAATTTGACCACCACTATTACCCGCCCATTAATTCAAAACTACTGGTGGAAGAGCTCCTATGTGTAAGGCAGAGCATAAAGCAAAACAGAAAGAAGAACAAAACATGGCCCCAACCTAAGGAGCCCTAAAATGTGCTCCACAGTAATAGCACCAAAGCTAAACACACTTCCTAAATCTTGTATTTTTTTTGCTAAAATGCCCAGTGAAAGCAAGTAAATAATGTTGGCAATGGACTACTATGGCATAAGCAACAGTTCATTCAGTCCTGTCTAGGAAAATTTAATTTTAAAAAAATGACATTTTATCTTTTAATTACAGAAGCAATATGCATATGATAAAAAATTCAAACACTAGCAAGGATAGAAAATGAAAAATTCTCCTCCACGATTCCTTAAAGACTCCCTAATACCATTCTCCAAAGTAACTACCATTAAGTTTCTTTTGTATCTTTCCATATCTATGTGCCTTTTAATATGCACATGTACACAGTGTCTTTACAGAAACATTCTCGAAACTATATACTACACAAATACACCCTCAAACAGGATAACATACACACTGTTCTAGAGTTTACTCCTCCAGACACCCACTTAAATATTTACCTTAAAGAGTTTATAAGATCTCTAGATTAATACACCTAACTTGGTATCAGAAAATATATCAAGTCAAAAATTACTAGGAATCCCTTACAGAATATCAAATAAATAACTGAAATGCTAATTATTGGCATCTTTGTCACAAACGGGTAGCTGGGTGAATTCTAACTTAAGTCACCGAGAAACAAAAATGTATATTCTGTCATAATTCAACTTTTTAAATTGCAATCTTTGTTTTCTCTTCCTAAATGATGGCAATGGCCTGCTAGAGTCTATGAGTTTATGTTTTGCTACTCTTATGCCCATCAAAATCCCAAAGTCTACAAGGAGACCACAGTAGAAGGTGATGAAACGACAGGAACTGAATGGAATATCACTACGTAAAAAGCTTTTATCTTAAAGAAAAATAAAAGAAGCAGTTTTCCACATCATAACACAACGAGATCTTACCATGCAGACTTCCAGCGCGAGCAGCGCTAGCCGCAACAGGCTCGAGAGCTTCCCGCCCCAGCTGCCCTGCTGGGAGGCTACTTGCAGACTCTTCCTGTAGCACATTTCTGCGGCGCCCATCATCCCCTGGGACTGATGTATGTGTGCCAGCCACTGAGGAGCAGCAGGGGAAAGGACCCAGGAGATGTTAGTTTTCTGCACAGTCCGCTTCCAACAAATTCAGTCAACTTTGATGGAGTTAAAAAGTTTAATTATTGACAAATTTTGTGCCCCCAAAACAAAAATCACAGATTAAGAAAGGGGACGGCCCCATATAATCCAGCAATCCCACTACTGGGCATATACCCTGAGGAGACCATAATTCAAACAGACACATGTACCCCCATGTTCACTGCAGCACTATTTACAGTACCCAGGACACAGAAGCTACCTAGATGTCTATCAGCAGATGAACAGAAAAAGAAGTTGTACACACACACAATGGAATGTTACTCAGCCATAAAAGGGAACATATGTGAGTCAGTTCTAGTGAGGCAGATGAACCTACACTCTGTTAGAGTGAAATAAGTCAGAAAGAGAAAAATAAATATTGTATTAATATATTAACACATAAATATGGAATCGAGAAAAATGGTACCGTTGAACCACTTTGCAGGGCAAGAACAGAGAACAGACTTATGAACACGGTGGGACAGAGGGAAGGAGACGTGGGATGAACTGAGAGTGTAGCACTGCAACATATATATTACATCATGCAAAACAGATAGCTAGTGGGAAGTTGCCGTGTAACACAGGAAACTCAACCTGGTGCTCTGTGACAATCGAGAAGGCTGGGAAGAGTTGGGAAGTGGGAGGGGGTTACAGGGGAGAGCACACATGGATGGCCGTCTTGCCCATTCCATTAGCAACAGCTTGCTGGTCACATCTAGTCTGAAGAATTAAAAAGTCTCCCAAGATGGCAAGGAACAAAATCAAAACACAAAATGGTTGTTCATATGTGACAGATGCATCATGTAAACACTAACCAAAAGTTCGCATAACTGTATTAATTCCCAACAATGCAGACTTCAAGACGAGAGATGTTAACAGATAAACTGGGCTGTTTCATAATGATGAAAGAGTCAGTCAAAGGAAGATATAACACTTCTACATTTGTATATCTCAATCACATAGAATTTATGAAGCAAAAATAGATAGAAATTTAAGAAGAAATAGACAAATCCAAAATCAGAATCAGAGATTTCAACAAACCTATCTCAGCAATGATAACAGAAACAGACAAAAAATAATAATAACTAAAGATACAGAAGATTTAAACATAATTAACCAGCTTGACTTAAATGACATGTTTAAGAAATTGAGATACTCTGTACAAATCTCTTGCAACTCACAAATGCTAAGGAAACAAGAAATCTTAAAAGTCCTCTATGTATTAAAGAAATTTAACATGGAACTTAAAAAGACACAAACTTTCCCATAAAGGAAATTCTTGGTCTGAATAGCTTCAATAGTGAATTCTTCCAAACATAAGGAAATAAATGTCCTTACATTTATTTTTATAACTATATATAATAATTTCTATATAATAATAATTTACATGTAATAATAAATATATTATTGTATAATAATTATTATATTTATTTATTATTATAACACAAACTTTCAGAAAAATAAAGAAAAATGGAATAATAACAGAGATACCAAAACCTAACAATGACCTTATGAGACTGAAAAATTACAGGCCAATCTCTCTCATGAATATAGGTGTACACATTATAAACAAGCATATTAACAAGCTGACTCTAGCAATATATAAAAGGAACAATACATCATGACCAAGTAGGGCTTCTTCTAAGAACAAAAGGTTGGTTTAATATTTTAAAATCCATGCAATCTACCATATTATCAGAATAAAGAAAAAGAACCATTCTCATAGAGGGCCCCCCAAAATTCAATCATTCACGATAAAAAACAAATCTCTCTTGATAAACTCAGAAAAGGATTTCCTTAATCTGCAAGATAAATTGGACAGCCAATTTAGAATCATTGCATGCACGAATGCTGAGCTGCTTCAGTGGTGTCCAACTCTTTGCAATCCTATGAACTGTAGCCTACCAGGCTCCTCTGTCCATGGGATTCTCCAGGAAAGAACACTGGAATGGGTTGCCATGTCTCTCTCCAGGGGACCTTTCCAAGCCCAGGATTGAACCTGCATCTCTTACAACTTGTGCATTGGCAAGCAGGTTCTTTATCCCAGCACCACCTGGGAAGCCCTCAGAATCTGTTAAATGTCTATTAAAACCTAAAGCAAATATTGTAGCTGAAATTATAAATGCTTTCTATCTGAGGTAGAGAATAAGACAAGTATGTTCCCTCATCACCACTTCTGTTTAACATTGTATATGAGACTCTAAACAGTGCAATGAGTCAAGAAAAATTTTAACTTAAAATTATTAGAAAAAGTAAAAATTATTCACAAAGGAAATATTGGTGTATACAGAAAACCCAAAACCATTTCAAAAGAATAAGTTAGCAAGGCTGCTAGAAGGCATATCCCAGAAGCATTATAACAGCCCAAACCTGGAAACACAGTTGACCTTTGAACAACATGGATGTAACTTAGAGTCAGCCTCTGTATTCATGGTTGCAAGGACTGAACGAACCACAGACTACTGAAAAATAGCCATGTATAACTGGACCCATGCAGTTCAGACCCATGCTGTTCAAGGGTGAACTGTAATTCACATGTCTATCAACAGTAAAAGGGATCTTACAGTATATTATTATATTGTATCTTACAGTATATTATTCATAAAAATAAGTGAAAAAAACTATGGCTACATGAAACAACTAAATGAATTTCATGGACATGATGTTGAATGAAAGTAACCACATACAAAAGGATATTCCATATATATCAAGTTTAAAAACAGGCAAAATTAGATAGAAGTGACATAAGTCATAATAGTGGTTCTGCTGCCCTTTTTTTTTTGACATAGGGAGAGTCACAAAGGGAGAGGCATGGCGGAAGCCACTAGACTGCAGGAAGTCACAGAAATTATGATGCCCAAAGATGACAGAGGGCCAAACAGGATAGCAGTCAGATCTTAAATGGTCTGAAGTTATGGAGAATCGGTAGCTAGGAGACCATGAACTGGAACTATTTCAACATGGAACAGAAACCTCATCTGAGGTTTCAGTTCTGCCTGGATCTAGGACAGGAGATAGCGGAGGACAGACAAGCCTGGCGCACTACAGTCCATGGGGCTGCAGTGAGTCGGACACGACCTAGTGACTGAACAACAACAGAGCACAGGCTCTGAAGACAGCAGCTCATGAGCCATCCGATGGAACAGATAGAGGGAGAGTTTGGCCATGGAATTTGGCATATTCTATAAAGCAGGCATAGAAGTCTAATAGTGTGGAGGTGAACAGTATGTAAAGTACGGACTGTACTTAAGACCAATCAGTGATCTTCAGCATGATCTCATTTCAACAATGTACCATTGCTTATATGGTACTTCCTTTAAACTGCTGAACAGTGAATATTTACTGATAATTTTTTAAAAGACTTCTACAGTAATTATATTATCTAAAATTCCTCTCTCATGTTTCAGATGAAGACTCTGGAGCTTAAGTGGGTGTACCTGGACTAAAATCACATAACCAATTAGTAGTAGATTCAAGTTCAAAGCTTTTTGTTATCAATTTGTGTTAGTACCAGCAACCATGTCCAATATTTTTGCAGTAGAATACACATAAATGAAGACTCTGCAGATGCAATTATACACCTGGCCTTCATGCAAGGTACACTAATTCCAAAATGGAAGTATAATTGAGGTGCCTACTCAGTAGGGATGTGGGGCAGAATTTTGTTTCTAGAATCCTATTAATTCCTGTTGCCTTTTATGGTTTCCTGCAGGGGCTTTATATGTACAGGATTTAACGGCCAGTTAGAAATATCCAACCTTAAATCCAAGGCGTCTTCAGTCCTGTATTGCTAGAGAATAAGGCAAACACCATGTTTATCGTGTCTTGCAATATTCCTTTTCTCCCCAAAATGATACACAATTGTGAAACGAATACATTTCTGGGTCAGATTAATTCAGAAACCAAGACAATTTGCCTTCAATTGTCAACAGAAGAAAACACCAGAGCATCTTAAGATATAACCTGACACTTGCTCAATATTCCACTATATCTAAAGCTAAGTTTGTTCAAACCTTGGTGAGGTAAAACCTTACCTTTAAAAGTATAAAGGTACGGTCTAAAGTAGTGGCAGTGACTTCTAACAAATAATTATGTGGCTCTCTGTCCTTGTCTTTAGTTTATCCTGACAATCATTCTTCCTAAAATAAATTTTTATGGACTTTCCTGGTGGCTCAGTAGTAAAGAATCAACATGCCAATGCATGAGACGTTGGTTTGATCCCTGGGTCAGGAAGATCCCACAGAGAAAAAAATGGCAACCCACTCCAGTATTCTTGCCTGGGAACTCACAGACAGAAGAGATTGGCGGACTACAGTTCATGGGGTCACAAGAGTTGGATACACTTAGCAACTAAACAACAATGGAGGATGTCACTAGGTTGCAGGAACTACTCTATACCTTGACATGCATGTGTACTCCGTTCCTAAGTTGGGTCCAACTCTTTGCAACCCCACTGACCGTGGGGTCCTCTGTCCATGGGATGTCCCAGGCAAGAACACTAGAGTGAGTGGTCATTTCCTTCTCCAGGGGAACTTCCCAACCCAGGAATCAAACCCGAGTCTACGGCATCTCCTGCATTGGCAGGCAGATTCTTTACCACTGAGCCACCTGGGAAATCCCTACATCTTGATATAAGTAGTGGTTAAAAAGGTATATATATAAATATATAGTAAGATTTTTACACTCTAATCTTTGTGCATTATATCATAGTATAAAAGAATATGTTATCTCTTAAGACTTTACTTACTGCATAATTTATCCTTTAATTTTTCCCTTTTAGTTTGAACAAAGTGCTTTTCCCCTTGATAAAGAGCATGAGATCATCAATATCCAGTTGACCCTAGAATTAAAGTATCTTAAGTCTCATATGGCAAATTTACTCTAAGAGGGGAAAAAAGCACCATCTTTCTTCAAGGATTAGAGTAAAAAGGAAGCTTAATGTGCATAATCCAACTATTTTATACCATTAGATAATCTTTTTAAGCAGGACATCAAAACATTCATAGAACAAAAGACCAAATGAAGAACTGTAGTAAAATAAACTTCTGTAAAACCTGTGTCAAAAAGTCCCTTTGATACTGTCTCAGGGCACAGAAAGAACTGTTGAGTAATTATATATGCTTTGTGTATTTTAGTATCAATAAGAATAAAGTACATAATCATTATGTATTTGTCATTGTGGTAAGCAGAGCCAGCTAAAAGGGCTGACAGTTTATTGATTTAGACATCAATCCTGAAAATAACTATTTCTGAAGGCACTGAAAACCCATTAAAATCTTAGATACAGGTTACCTGTAAAGGAACTAAGGAAAAACTACACACATCCCCTCTAAAGGGAGAGCTAAGCACCACTATGGCAACCTTACTATGTTTGTAACACTTAGCTCTCTTATATCAACTCCTTATAAAAGACATTATTTTCAACACTGTTTTAAATGGAGCTTTATAACCAATGATTGTAAATGCTTTAAAGCCATGCAGCGGCAAATCCTTAATGAATAATCAACTTCTTGAGTTTCTCTAATTATTGTGGTTAATGAGAGATATTAACCACATATTAACTACTGTGTGAAAAAGAGAGACACAGTGGGTTTAAAGGCAAGACAAAAATGTGGCACACCGCTGACCTCACTGAACGTCACAGAGCATTTTAATTCAGGACTCACACAACAAAAGAGAAAATTTACCTGCCAAGCTGGAACAGAGGTTGAGTTGGACATGACTGTTTTTTGCAGCTCTTCAAGTACACCATCTGGGAGAGGTTTTCGTGACTCCAGGAGTGGTTTACATTGAACTTGTCTCAAGAGTAAGATAATAGCTGGTTGATCAGGGTTACTTTTTAAATTCTAAAAATCAAACCCCAAACAAAAATATATGAGACAGGTTCTGAAATGTTAAATGTAAAAGGCAATTAAGCTATTCTCCATACTGGGAAAAAAAAAAAAAAAACCACACCTGAATTTAACCTTTTCTTATTAAAAAATAACAGCAAAAGTAAAAAAAGAACACTGATCACCTTGGGAATATCAAACTCTATACTTAAACTCTAAAATCAGTAATACTACTACTATAGTTTATAAATCATTTGAGTTAGAACATCCCTTTGACTCGGTTTATTCTTAGGTGACAGCCTGAAAAATTTAGGTTCTGCATATAAATAGCCGAACTAAGAAAATATAAAATTAACAGTGAAGGCGAATATTATCCCTTATTTGGAAGAAACTGCATTATGTAAGAGGGGCTTCCCTGGTGATTCAACAGTAAATAATCCACCTGCAATGCCGGAGATTCAGGAGAAATGTGTTTGATCCCTGGGTCAGGGATCATGTGTTCGATGCCCTGGAGGGCATGGCAACCCACTCCAGTATTCTTGCCTGGAGAATCCCGTGGACAGAGGAGCCTGGCAGGCTCCATCGGGTTGCAAAGACTTGAACATGACTGAAGCCACTGAGCATGCACTGACTACATACTATGTAAGAAGGAAAAAGCTTAATTTTTTTCCTTTCTCAACATCTTAATAAAAATACACATTGTCCATCTTCCAGGCACAGACTTCTTATACATATTTCCCTAAGCCATTTATTTATACCTTAAAACACATACATACAGACATAAAAGTATAGTATGTGTGTATATATATATTTATAAATGTATATGTTGTTTATGTGTATATATATATTATAATTATATATACAATATGTAATATATATCCGCAATATACACATACAAGAAGTTAAGGACAGTTCTCCAAGCAAGTTCTTCCACTATTGTTTTGGACATTTCTTCCTTTATTGTCTGTCTCTCAATAACCTAATTCTTTATCTTCTATTATTAGGTCATAGTTCTAAATGTCCTTATTTCTGAAAGGTAAGTGATTGCTTTCTTCTAAGTAAGAGACTGGAACCTTAAAATGACGAGGAAAGGTTCATAAAAGTATCCCTTACTCCGTCAGAGAGAGTACAAAGCAACTGCCAATTTACGTTCACTAAACATTCACTGTATTATACACAACTGTCCTGAACCTAGATGGAATTTCTTAAATAAAAGAGATAATGTATGATTCTGCTCTTCAGAGAGTTCAAGGACCAAAGGGGTCTTTAGAGATCCATTCCTCTCTCTCTGTAAAATTCATAGTGATCTTTCAAAAAACATTTCTAGAAAGACAACACAATCTCCCAAGTATTTATGAAAAAAAAAAGGTGTTTTCAGGAAAAGTGATGTCTAAAACTCTCCTTATTAAGTTATTTCTGAGTAGGTTTATAAAATTGATTTGTTCATTCAATAAGTACTTATTGAGCCTCTACTACGGGTCAGGCAAGGTCTAAGAATTTATTCACAGACACTACCATCCAGGTAGGTAAAAACTGACTACTCGATAATTTCAGTTACTCACTTAACAATCCCCATAGTCATTCTATGTGGTGCAGAACTTTGGGAAAATGCAGGGATGCTGGAAAACATAGCATTCTAAACAGAGTAACTAGGAATCAAAGAAAAATACTACTTCCATAAGAAATACCCCAAATAAATAAATTCAACTTTGAGTCTCAAAGAGTCAGACACAATGTGAGCTTAAACAGCAAGTCTATCAACTTCTACCTGTGAATTCTTATGCAAATTAGTTACCCTCTTTAAACCTTAGTTTTCTCTTTTGTATAAATGGGAATAATAATAAATACCTGCATCACAGGATTGTTGTGAAGGTCAAATACAAATTGCTAAATGTATTAACTAGCCTATAGTAAGTACTCAGTTAATACTGGATATTATCTTCATCATCACCACCACCACCATCACAACCAAATGCTCTCTGAATAATGTGCACTCTATTTTTGAAGTTATTTTCCAAGTAGGATAAGAATTCATGAATCTCAATTCCATAAAAATACCTTTGTGCAGAGGGCTTCAGCTTCAGATATTCTTCCTGTGTCTATTAGACCAGTGACAGCTTGAGAGAGAGACCACCTTTCAAGAGACTGGTTGTAATTTTCATAGAATCCTTTGTCTTTAACTACAATAAAACAAGTCAATGTTACCATTTTTTTCTGTAGTTTATAATGTGTTCTCTGAGAAGTAATTAATTATTAAGAATGACAATTAAACATACCATGCAATATAATTTTACACATACCACTGGAATATCATAGACTATCTCAACATGAGACAGGTTTCTGAAAAACTTCATAGTAGGAATATTTGTGGCTGAATAACTTAAGACTTTTTATATTTCTGACTTACATTTTAAAAAAAAATCAGTCTTCAGTAAAACTGAAAATAATTCAATGAAAAAAGTAAAGATTTATTGCAGTATAACTGACATATGATAAACTGCACATATTCAAACTATAAATCTGATAACTTTTGACATAAGCATCCATCTGTGAACTATCACAACTATCAAGATAACAAACGCATCCACCATCATGAATAGCTTCCTCCTACTCCCTGGTAATCCTTCCTGTCCCCAACCCACCTCTCCTCCTTCCCTCTGCCCCCAAACAAGCACTCATTATTTTCACTCACAATAGATCAGTTTGCATTATCTGAAATTTCATATAAATGAAATCGTAAAGTATAAACTCTTTGGCATGTTTCATAGCATTTAACATGGTAAATTTTACATTCATTTTCAAATATTAAAGCAACCTTGCATTCCTAGAATAAACCTCACTTGATCATGATGTAGTACTGTCTTTTTTGTGTGTTACTGGATTTGAATTGTGAAAGTTTTGTTATAAATGTCTGCATCTGTTGTTCTGTATTATTCTGTTATTATTATTGATTTTTAAATTAATTCAATTGTATTAAGATAACATACTGTGTATGATTTGAATTTTTAAAAATTCATTTATATTTGTTTAATGGCTCATAACATGATGTGGTGGTGAAAGTTGCTCAGTCATGTCTGACTCTTTGCAAATCCATGGACTACTATACAGTCCATGGAATTCTCCAGGCCACAATACTGGAAAGTGTAGCCATTTCCTCTTCAGGGGATCTTCCCAACCCAGGGATTGAACCCAAGTCTCCAGCATTGCAGGCAGATTCTTTACCAGCTGAGCCACGAGGGAAGCCCCCATAATATTATATACATAGGCAAATCATCTGTGTATACTTGACAAAAATACACCTTCTGCTATTGTTAGGAGTACTTTCCTATAAATGACAACTGGGTCAAGCTGGTTGATATTGTTAAAGCTTTTACTGTATCTTTACTAATTTCCTGTCCAATTTTTCTATCATTTATCAAAACTGTTGAATCTCTATAATTATGAATTTATTGATTTCTCTTTTCAGTTCTACAAGTTTATTTCAGTTCCATAAGTGTATTTTTCCATAATTTTTCATTTTCTTCTACCTATTTTATTGGGAAAAACCACATGGATTTTATGTGTTTTGAAGGTTTGTTACTTGGTGCCTAAACTGTCCTCTTGATAAACTGATTCTAATGTGAAATGTCCCTCCTTATTATTGGAAATATTCTTTGCTCTGAAACCTTAATTTGTTTGAAATTTCTCCTTTCTTAAATATTTATTTACTTACTTGGCTGCATTGGGTCTTAGTTGTGGCACTCCAGCTTTCTTCTGATTAGTGTTGGCATAGTGTACCTTTTACCATTCTCTAATTTGTTAGATCATTTTTGTCTTTTTTCAAAAATCTTTTTTTAAATAGATACAGAGATGATTTACAATGTTTCAGGTATACAAAGAAGTGATTCAGTTATACATATCTACATATGTGTGTATATATACACACACACACACACACACAGGTGTATATATATATAACACACATATTCTTTTTCAGATTCTTTTCCATTATAGGTTATCACAAGATATTAAAGGGCTTCCTCGTGGCTCAGCGGTAAAGAACCTGCCTGCAATGCAGAAGATGCAGAAGATGCAGGGGACCCACGTCCAATCCCTGGCTGGGGAAGATCCCCCAGAGGAGGGCGTGGCAACCCACTCCAGTATTCTCGCCTGGAGAGTCCCATGGACAGAGGAGCCTGGTGGGCTACAGTCCACGGGGTCGCTAAAGGTCAGACACGACCGAAGTGACTGAGCACACATGCACAAGATATTAAATACAGCTAGCCTGTGTTATAAGGCAGGTCCTGTTGCTTATCTGTTTTACAGGTATTTTATAGACAGCAGGAGATTACTTTTGTCTTAAAATACAGGTCTATATTTTGCTATGTTTCCTTTAAGCAGTACATAGTTAGCTCTTGCTTTTTTATCCAATCTGTCAATCTGTGCATTTTAACGGGCGTATTTAGACCATTTATACTTAACTTGATTATTGATACAATTGGGTTTAACTCTATTGTGCTGTTGTCTTCTCTGTATTCAATGTTCTCTTTGCTTCCTTTCTTGGATTATTTTTTATACCCCATTTTTTTCTACTTCGGTGGCTTATCACAAAGTTATAACTCTATATTTTTTAGTGTCTGCTTTTAGGTTTTAGAGTATTTATCGTCAACCTGTCACCATCTAACTTTAAGTACACTTGACCCTCTGTATCTGTAGATATGGAACCCATGGACAAGCAGAGTCAACTATTATACATCATTTTATATAAGAATTGCGTTATCAGTGGATTTTGATATCTGAGGGGGGGTCACAGAACAAACCCCCCATGAATACATACAGATGACTGCAATATTTTACCACTTATAGTATAAAACCTTTACAACAAAATACTTCCATTTTCTCCTCCTGGCCTCTGTGCTATTGTCACATGTGTTTTGAACAGCTAATTACATGTTAAAGAGATTTCCATCTAGTCTTTTGTGGATCTGTTTCATTGATTGATTTTTCTCCTCATCATGGGTAGTATTTTTCCGTCTGTTTGCATGCTTATCAAGTCTTATCTGGATACCAAACATCGTGAATTTTACCTTGCTGGATGCTGGATATTTCTGTTCCTATAAAATTCTTGAGCTTTGTTCTGTATGCAGATAAACTCCTTAAAAATGACTTGATCATTTTGTCTTGTTTTCAAGCTTTGTTAGATGAGAATATAATAGCCTTTCATGCAGGGTTAATTCTGCCTATTACCTTTTGGCAACATCCTTCTCAATACTTTACCTTGAATGTATCATGTATTAAATGCTTTTTCAAACTTACTTGAAGCAGAAACAGCAGATAACAGTGCCAAGTATAAATCCACCCTCTTTGGCTGAGTGCGGCTCACCAGGGCCAGTACATCATCGGCATGACAAGCTACCATCAGTCCAGCCCAGACAGCAGGATCACCTGGACACAGGAAATACAATTAGGAGGCTTGTCGATGTCAAGATGCTGCTGAAGGCTACCAAACTGAAAGTGAGAGTTTATAAACTCCAAAAAATAGAATAAGAAAATGTTATCTACAGAAAAGTTCTATTTTCTTAAAGAAAAACTAACTCACAAGACACATTACTATATTCATCCTTCAGGATTTGCCGTTTTTTCCAAACACATCAGAGGATAAGAAATATCCTATTAAACTCTTCTTCCACTGCTGGTTACATGAGCAGTGCCTAGAGTACTCTGCTGTTGGGGAAAGGTTAATCACAGTCACTGAATTCCAAGGACAAGTCTCAGCTGTGTTCATCACTCTGTCCCTATACTAAAGGCTCAGTCATAGGAAAAACAAGCTAACACAATTTCTCAGTTCTTAAGAAAAGTTTGAAGCAAAGGAAAACCTCAAGACAACTCCATTTTATCTATGTTCTAAAAGCCAAACATGAAAGTCACTTTATCATTCCAAGTGAAGCAATTTTAATTATATATCCCTTCATTTATTTGATCTTTTTTTCCTTCCTTCACACCGTGATAGCAGTTTCAGGGCGGTGAGTTGAGAGGTAATAAAAGAGACTATGAGTACAGACTCTTTTCAAGAGTTAATTGCAAAAACAGAAAGCTGAACTCGGATTTGGAATTTAGGTTTTTTAATTTGCTTGGTCTTTTATTTCACAAATCATATTTTACAGTTTATTTTAATATTTTAATATTTTCAGTTCGTTTGACCTTAAAGAAAAAACGGATAATTTTAAAATCCTACAAGAGGTTCTAGTTAACAATACAGTCATTTAAACATACTCTTTAGCTCTATATTTTAATTTTTTCTTATCTAACTGCCCCATCCGACATATACCTTCTATCAAATGTCTGAAGTAGATCTAGTTCATTTATAGATGGTCAGTGTTACTGTTAATTATACAAGAATCATTAGAAATGTTATGCAGACCAAAAATTTTTTTTAAAAATTAAGTAGTTACCTTGGTATTTCAAAATAGTTTCTGCCCAGATAATGACTACATGATTTTAAATATCATGGAACATATTCAAATCTCAAATAAGAAAATGGGGACCATTTCCTAGAATTGATGTGATCTGAATACTACACAATGAAAGGCCCATGACTGAGTCCTAGGCCTGGGTTTAGGTCTAACGACGCCACTAATTAACAGTGTAGCACCTTTCCTTGGAACACATACTATTATAGAACAAGGCATCTAAATTAAAGGATGGCTCAGGTGCCCTCAGCTGTAATATTCTGCAATTTCAACTGAAGTGGACTCAATTTCTATATTTCTAAGATTAAATGAACAACTCACTTAAGGATCTTAGGGTATTCTATAGTTGAGATTTTGGGGGGAGGGACAGATATTAGCTGGAAGCAATTTCTCTTGCCACAATTCAGAAGAATTGTTGTTTTCTCTTCTAGAAATAACCAGCAACTCAAATTCCTTATGAAACAAAGTGATATATATATATATACAAATATGTATACATATACACACATATATACATATATTATACTCGAAATCTAAAGTTTTTCATATACTTGGCTAAACATATCTTTTAATATCACAGAATCATTAATCTAACAGACATTGGATTTCCTTCCATTCAATTCTAAATTCTTGGGATTACATTTAAATTTCTGAAAAGATTCCTTGGAGTATCATCTATCAAAACTTTAACTAAAGATCAGTAGAGCCTAGGTATACAGCTACTATAACTACATAACAACTACATTCACTTTCCTGGGCAATCTCACCTTTCTTAAGTGTATCTCACTTACATAAGCAAAGACTTACATCAATCATTCTAGATCCACAGTAAGAATTCTTGAGAGCAATTCTGTACCTAATAACTTGCTTGAGAACACTTAAAAAATCAGATACTTACCTAACATGTAACACAGACAAAACCAAATATTTAGGTTTCTTTTTATTCTATTTCAAAAATGAAAGAAAAAATAAACAAGGACAGGTCTGTCTACTCGTTTTATAAAATAATCTCTGAAGTTTAGTTACAAGTCTTATAATTTATTGTGAAGATGACATAAAATCTGTTCTCTGTACAATCTGTTTCCCCACAGTCCCTGGCCAAAAGCAATAGCATTCTGATCAAACAAATGTTTGAAGTGCTTTGGTGGAATATATTGTTTAAAGCTATGTTTTATATTAAAAACAATATTATGTAAAAATACACCCCATAACCCTACTTTGCTAGACTTTCCAGTCCTCTAGAGCATTTTTCCAGTAGTAGCAATGGAAGAATGCTGATGCCGTTTATAGCAGTTCCTCGGGCCTTTGGTGATCAATGGTACGCATGTAATTTTGGTTAGAACTGAGAAGAGGTTAGTTCAGGTGAGATCAGGACCCTGTCAGTTCTAACAGTTACTACAAAATACATATTTCCACTCTTCAAGAAACTACACATAAAAGTAACTAAACATGTTTATTAAATAATTTAGTACATATAGATAAACCTCATTAAACCCTCAGTCATTCCCTGACTGATGGGAAAACAGAAATAAAACTACTTCTTGAAAGTATATTAATTCAGATTTTCAATAATGGTTAATGATCTATCTTTAAAGAGATTTTCCTCTGAGCCTGCTTCAATAACTAATTATCTCTCAAGTATCAGTAACTGAATGCAGATAATCAACTAATATGCAAGATCTTAAAATATTTTAAAATTCTCTCATTTCATTAAAGTACAAACTTTGCTTCACAAATGCAAGATGGACAGAATCCTATGCAATGAAATGGATTATATTATATTCACCTGGAGAAAGGAGAGCTGCCTTCTGAATGGTCTTTAGTGCAGTATTTTTCTCATCTTCTGCTGAATTGCTTCCCATAGCCAACTGATTTACTGCAGTGTACAGTAATGCCTTCTACATAAGAGAAAAGAAGAGTGTTAACCAATCCTCTTTACAGCTCCTTGACTTTCAAAGTGATGAAAAATAGTACTATACTGAATATGATGTGACCCCTGAGCTTAAGAAAAAAATTTACTCATTCATCAATAATATTATTTAACAAGTAAAACATTCCCCTGAATTGGGGCAAACTAACCTTTCCATGATTTGAGTCCAGAATATGAGCCACGTTTCCTGCCACTGCACCTCCCTATAATAGTAAACAAATGATTACTTAGATAAATGCATAAACTTTCATGAAAAAGTAAAAATTAAGACTGATAAAATCTTTACATTAAATCATTTGAAAGGTTTGGTTTTATCATATTTATATTAACTTTTAAACTTCCTGACAGTCGTATTCAACTCTTTGTGACCCCATGGACTGTAGCCCGCCAGGCTCCTCTGCCCATGGGATTCTCCAGGCAAGGATACTGGAGTGGGTAGCCATTCCTTTCTCTGGGGGATCTTCCCAACCCAGGGATCAAACCCAGGTCTCCCGCATTGCAGGCAGACTCTTTATCCACTGAGCCACCAGGGAAGCCTTTAAGCTCCCTAAGCACCAACTTAATACCACTGTTTCAAAAAGACAGTTTAATATTTTTTTAAAAGAAAATTTTTTCTACTATGAGAATTTCAACTCTGCTCTTTTACAATTTTCATTAAAGGTCCAAGAATTACATGATTTCACAGTGGTAACAAACAAACATACAACTTTCTAATATACAAGACTGTGAAACAAAGATTCAGTGGAGATTCCACAAAACTTATTTTAAGATAAACTAATATAACTTCACTCCAAGAAAATATAATATTTTCAAAACATCTACAGACCCTCGCAAAATGAGTAATTAAAAGTTCAGAGTATCATGAAACTCATCACTGCCTCAATAATCTACTCAATACTAAAAATAAGGAAAATCTATGCAGCATCCTAGGTTTCATAAAATTGGCTTGAAATTCTTAATTTTTAAAAATTCAACTTGATGTTTCACCTGGTAAAGAAAGTAAGTTGTAAGAATGATCTCATTTTAAATAAGAAGTATACTTCTAATGTATACTTCATTTTACATCATTAAGTGTATCACAAATATTTTTAAAACCATATTTAGCAAATAAAGAAAGCTAAAAATAAACTTTTAAAAAACATGTCAATATAAAACAAATAGAAGATGAATTAAAAAGAAGGAAGGCTCACGAGTAAGGTCTGAAATGATCCATCACCACAACTACTAACTGTGATTTTGCTCAAGTTATTGAATCTTTATGTCTCAAGTACCCTCCTCTACAAAATGAACTTAATTCCAGCTACTTCATAATGCTGTTGAGATTAAATGACAAGACAGATAAAAATCCCAAGCACAGTAGTTGGCATATAAATGCTTCATTACAGAGTCTAATAATGATGGTCTTTCAGGTTCTTGGAACAAAACATTCACTGAAAATAACAAACTGTAGGATAAAACTTTGCTACTCAAAGTGTGGCTGGTATACCGGCAGAACTGACATTCTCTGGGAGGCTGTCAGAAATGCAGAATATCAGGCCCCACCCCACATCTACTGAATAAGGTTTAAACAAAATTATGGGGTAATTTCATTTCATGTTAAAGTTTAATAAGCACTGGGATAAAATATAAAAAGCATGTATTATTAAAAGCACTGGCTAGCTGACAAGATATTAAGGACTTTTCAAGCCAAAACTAAAGGGGAAAACTGAAATCCACAGAGGTATAAGTGAAGGAAGTCAGTTTGCAGTTCCTAAAAACTTTTAATTTCCAGCTTGAAGGACTTGTGGGTGAGAAATCAGAGTCCAAGACTCAAACGAGAAGCAAGCATATAGGAAACCCGCATCAAAGTAAGCTGAGCTTCCCCACTCCTGGCCAAGGGGATACACATTCAGATTTAAGGTGAATCAGAATTAGACCAGGATTCAAATGACCCTGAAAACCCAGGCACTCAGTAGCCTGTACGGTTCAGAAAGCTCAAGCTATAAACTTCTTTAAGGTGGTTCCAGATTGGTGGAGCTCCCAAGTATTGGCATTAAAAAGTACAAGTTCTTTCTGTAGAAAGTTACCTTAATACTAGGCCTCAAATTATTTTCACAAACAATCTTGAAGTTTACACCATCAACAAACAAGGCCAGTATGAAAACCAATAAAAATAACAAACAAAAACAGATGTACATAGACTTCAGATACTGGAATTACTAGATGTAGTAAGTGTTCAAAACATAGTAGCTACTACCAATATGTTTACTACCTAGTTATGTAAAGCATCAAAGGCCATATTAACCACAGAAATTAACAAAATACTTTATTGACTCCTGAAAATATCTTGCTGTTACGAACTAACAACAGTGAAAATCCCTTTTATGGAACATCAATGACTTCATATTTAGACTTACATTTTTAGACATAAGCACTGTTCTAGTTGTTATTTTCTTATCTTTAAGAAACTTTAGAATAAAACTATTTTTGGGTATTCTGAAACACAGCAGCTAATGCTTCCGAACTATGCACTGTGCTTAGTCACTCAGTCATGTCCAACTCTTCAAGACGCCATGGACTGTAGCCCACCAGACTCCTCTGTCCATGGGGATTCCCCAGGAAAGAATACTGGAGTGGGTTGCCACGCCCTCTTCCAGGGGATCTTCCCGACCCAGGAATCAAACCCAGGTCTCCCTCATTGCAGGTGGATTCTTTACTGTCTGAAGCCCAACTTAATCTGTATATATTCAAAAAAGTCCACCTCCTTCTTTGTATATTCCATAACACCCCAGCAGCACAACAGTACATGGAGGAAACTCAGTGTACTACTTGTTGAATAACTAGTGAAAAACGTCATTAAATAACAGAACTCCCTCACTGTATTAATTAATTTCCAGAATGATAATAGTAATACTTTAAAATTACATACTACAGAGACATGTGCACCCCAATGTTCATCGCAGCACTGTTTATCATAGCCAGGACATGGAAGCAACCTAGATGCCCATCAGCAGACGAATGGATAAGGAAGCTGTGGTACATATANCACTTCCATGTTTGTCCTACACCACAGAAAAACACTAAAATTTTTTTCCTTATATTAAATAGGAAAAAAAAAAAAAAAAAATCAACATTTTATTTAGTACCTAAGTTAAAAATCTTTTAAACATCTAAAACAAGTTCAAATTAATTGTCCATGTGTAGTTGGAAGTGTCTGAATTTTTAGAAAGAATATTTTATCTCTTTATTAAAATAAGAAAGAAAAATCAGCAATGTGATGAATACAGAGCCATGAGACCCAATCAGGAAAGGTTAAAGAAATTTAATGTCAAGTTCAAAGAAAACACAGAGATCAGAACAGTGAAAGGAAAATAAACTACAGATATAACACTTTACTGTTGAAAACAAAACAAATAACCACTATGACTAATGAAAACAGTTTTCTACTTTCCAAATGTTGAATATATTACTGAATGCTGAGTGTCCAAAAAATTCCTAAAACCATTAAACTGAACAGTATCAAATAACAAACTGACAATATCACAAACTTGAGAGTTTGTAAGAATTTTCATATAAAAAAGATTTGGGCTTTAATCTGAATAAAGGAAAATTTTCTGTTCTTTTTTTTATCAACTGAATTTTGTATTTAAATCACTAGATGTGAAAAAACTGTCAATTACCTGGTCCTATGTACAGTGTCATAAAACCACAACCTGGTTTCCAAATATACACAATTACCTCATTGTATAATCTTAATCGGTAAGATCCCCTGGAGAAGGGCATGGCAACCCACTCCAGTATTCTTGCCTGGAGAATGCCACGGACAGAGGAGCCTGGTGGGCTACAGTCCATGGGGTTGCAAAGAGACACGACTGAAGCGACTTAGCACGCACGCACATAATCTTAATAAGGTCCAAACAGCAAAGACAATCTCATCAAGGATAACTGGACTCCAAGTCCACAAGTACAGAATTTACCTGTGAACAGCTCTGGATGCTTGTCTCTGCACTGCCACGCTGCGGCCTTGCAGGGCATAGATGGCTGAAGTAAGAAGGCTCCTCTGATAGTCACTGTTCTGTTTTCTGTGCTTCAGTAGCTCGTTAAGTGCAGCTTTTGACAGTGTAGCATCCTGCATTGCCAATCCCAGAGCACACAGGGCTTGAAGGCTTTCCACTGTTGGTTCCTTTAAGATAGAGCTGTAAACATATTTTTAATTGCCTATTAGCCATGAGTACAATAGTCTGTAACTATTAGAACACCCTCAACAGCAGGAAAAACAGTGTGCTTACAGATTCACCAAACTGTGGCCCAGCTTTATGATAAATATAAAACTAAGTTCCATGGTTTCTAGGAACCATAATTTCCCTGAATTTCTGAAGCAGTTAGAAGGTACCAAGGGCCTTCACAGAGCATCAGTAGCCAAATTTCTTTTCTGGTCTTTTCTTATCTACATTTAGAAACAAAATACACAGTACAGTCTCTTTGGATCTCACAGTTCTAGGTAAATAATTAAAATAATTTTGCCAAAATATTTTGGTTTCAGTAAAATCCTAAAAGGTATGAATAATAAAGAAAAATCCTTAATATAAGATCTGATTTTTATCATTTGCAAAAACATTCTGTCTTACTGCTCTGTGCTATTTGAAACCAGAGCTAGCATATATAAGTACAAATACAATCTATATCCACCGTATTCCAAGCGAGCATATTTATAGTTGAAGGAGAATTTAAATTTTGTATGTAAGCATCCAATATTTTTTTCCTTCTTTAACTGTGAAATTTTATGGAGGTAAAAGTCACTAATGTTAGGAATCCTCATTAATTTAAATGAAGAAAACGAGCTCTTTACAAACTCAATAGAACTTCTAATAATAATTATGAATGTGTACTATAATAAAACAAAGGAATTTTGAAAAATCTGTTAAACAAAATTCATTAGAATATAATAGAAATACTTACAACATTACAAAATATCACACACCTACCACTATGTCTTTCTATTATTGAGGGTGGGAGGATAAATTGTTTAGAATCTGACTTTGACAAACAGGTACAAAATCATGAATTTTCATGGGAAGCTCTGGTGTAAACTTAAGCATCCACAGGAACTCTTTTTACCATAAGGGTTAATGGAGGCATCCGAATATGGAATAGTATCAATTAGTAAGTCATTTCCATCAATACAAATAATCCACACTGTAAGTTGGACAGGAAGGAGATCAAACCAGTCAATCTTAAAGGAAAGTAATCCTGAATATTCATTGGAAGGACGGATGCTGAAGCTGAAACTCCAATACTTTGGCCACCCAATACAAAGAGCCGACTCATTGGAAAAGACCCTGATGCTGGGAAAGATTGAAGGCAGGAGGAGAAGGGGACGACAGAGGATGAGATGGTTGGATGACATCACCAATGCAATGGACATGAACTTGGACAAACTCCGGGAGATGGTGAGGAACAGAGAAGACTGGTGTGCTGCAGCCCACGGGGTCACAAAGAGTCAGACTCAACTAGGCGACAGAACAACTAACAACAAAAGAAGACTTTCTAATCTGTGTCTTGGTTCAAAAGGGAAAACCCCTACCTATTCTAATATTTATTAATATAAAAAATCTAAATTATTACTGGAATGACTACATCCCATTAGGCTCACATGTGCTGAATGCACAGTACCCGCAAGCCATCCTGTACCACATGCTATGGATTTTACATGTAATTATTTATATCATAAATTCTATGATGCTGGTAATCAGATTTTCCCCCCTTATATATTGAATTTATTCCTATTCCCCTTAAGCACCTAGGACACTGCTTAGTTCCCAACATATGAACGCCAAACAAGATCAATAAAGAACTGGAATCCTAATTTTTCACGGAATGGAAGTCAGAGAACAGAATCCAAGGGGCAGGAAAGGGAGCAGTTTGAAAGATGACGTGGAGAGAACCAAAAACAAAGAAAGAAACATAGAGCACATAATCCACTTAGCCGTGGATTCAGTAACACACAAAAAGGAGGTAAAGGCCTCCCCTCATAACAGAAGAAGAAAAGAATAAGATAGTATTCTACTATTTTTCTCTACTTCCTCCAATGTTCAAATGGTTTTGGTTACTGTTTTAAACAATAACCCAAGATTAATCTGAGTGAAAGTCACTAAGTCATGTCCAACTCTTTGCAACCCCATGGACTATACAGTCCATGGGATTCTCCAGGCCAAAATACTGGAGTGGGTAGCCATTCCCTTCTCCAGGGGATCTTCTCAAGCCAGGGTTTGAACCCAGGTCTTCCGCATTGCAGGCAGATTCTTTACCAGCTGAGCCACCGGGGAAGCTCCAGATTAATCTAATTGTATCTAATTTGGGGTTACTTTTGCTCTTGATAATTTGCAGTAATATATTAGCATCTATGATTCTTTTGGGGGCTTCTCAGGTGGCATTAGTGGTAAAGAACACACCTGCCAATGCAGGAGACATAAGAGATGTGGGTGCAATCCCTGGGTCGGGAAAATCCCCTGGAGGGAGGGCACGGCAACCCATTCCAGTATTCTTGCCTGGAGAATCCCACAGACAGAGGAGCCTGGCAAGCTACAGTCCATGGGGTCACAAAGAGTTGGACATGACTGAAGCAACTTAGCATGCACAAAATAGCTTTCTCCTAAGCTATTTGCAAATTTGGGTCTTCTGAACATGAGTGTATCCATGTAAAGTGACAAGATTTTTAAAATTCTGACTGGTTTTCTCAAGAGAAGCTAAGAGGAGAATGAACTGCTTACTTATTATACAAGAAAATGACTTTAATCAGTATGAGACAGAAGTATGACAATGAATAAACAAAAACAAAGCTTATCCTCTAAGAAGTCATTCTGAACTAGTGACCATCTAATCATCTCTGTCCTCCTACTTGGCCACTTGATGTGAAGAACTGACTCACCTGAAAAGACCCTGATGCTAGGAAGCCTGGAGGAGAAGGGGACAACAGAGGATGAGATGGTTGGATGGCGTCACCGACTCAATGGACATGAATTTGAGTAAACTCCAGGAGTTGGCGATGGACAGGGAAGCTTGGCATGGTGCGAAACATGGGGTCGCAAAGAGTCGGACACGACTGAGCGACTAAACTGAGCTAAACTGAATCTTTGTAGGGAAGCATAATTTGAAGATGCATGGAGGCACTTTTTTGGTTTTCATAACAAACGGAGAGAGCAATCAGTGTGATGGGAAACAAGGATGTGATCTTCCTGCAAGGGGTGGAAGATTTCTGTACTATGAAGATCTGTACCCCTAAAAACGCCAATAGAGCACTCACTGATAACCACTGTCTAATAGCATACATTAATCATCTACTGCTTTTTAAGAAATTAAGGTCAACTTTCTCAAAAGAATTTTCCAAAAGTCAAAAGTACCATATAAACAACCACAGATATCAGAGACTACTATTTTATTAAACTATCCCCAAAATACAGAAATAGTTACAAGTTATACTGGTACATATACTTTCTTCAGACTCAACTTTAAATTAACTTTATCAGGTTAACCTGAAAAGGGAAGAGGAAAAAAAATTTCTTTGGGAACCCACTGGGCTGAAAACAAGTCAGTTATGACTGCCTTCATTAAAATTTTATAATCCTAAGAGGAGAGCTGATCAATTACTGTTTTAAGAAAATAAATGACACACACAGAGTACAGGATGATTTTGGAGAATTGAATGAATTCAGAATTAAGAATGAAGCCACAACATCTACCTAACCAGACAGGTCTGATCCCTTTTGTTCACCAAAAAGTACCTAAAACATTAAAAACTTCACTTTACATTGCTTCCAATTTTAACCCAGTAGTTTTAAGTATCTGGTCGTTTGAGTGTTGATGTCGTCTATACATACCATTTGAACAGCAATGTCTTGGCTACATCCATTTTTCCTTGTTTATATTCCGCTATTGCCAGAGCTGTCAGGATATGAGCTTTGTCTTGCTCTGATTCAACAATTGCCAAGGCTCTCTCATACGCTGTTACACAGAATTGGAAACAAAAACAAAACAATACAAAAGCAATCCTGATGGACAAATGATGGGATTTTTCCTTTCCTCATCCTATTTTTTAAAAAGATCTAACTAAAATTACATCTTACTATTCCCTTGCTCTCAAGTGAGTAGGATAAAAATTTATAATAACCTAACTTGGTTTAACTGTTTCAAGGTGATTCTGGGAATACCATTAGGATTATTATGTGATATTTCCCAATTCTCATCTTTAGAATCTATAGACAAGTTTGAGTCACTATCTTCAAAAGAAGTGGAGGCCTATAATCATTGAGATATCACCCAAATTCCCATGAAGAAACCAGTAACTCTATGAAGCAGCCCTTACAATGAGCTACACACAAGTAAACTGGGCCCATACAAGGGAAAAAGGACTCAAGGGACATTTTTGAAGAAACCGAAATGATAATATATTATCACTAACAATGGCTGAGGTCTTCATTTACCAGGAAAGTACAAGGAAACTCTGTGGAGTAGTAAATACTGGCTTTCAGTTAACGTGAAAGTCACTCAGTCTGTCCGACCCTTTGCGACTCCACGGACTATACAGTCCATGGAATTCTCCAGGCCAGAATACTGGAGTGGATAGCCATTCCCTTCTCCAGAGGATTTTCTCAACTTAGGGATCGAACCCCGGTCTCCTGCATTGCAGGCGGATTCTTTACTAGCTGAGCCACAAGGGAAGCCCAGGAATACTGGAGGGGTAGCCTATCCCGACTCCAAGGGATATTTCTGACCCAGGAATCGAACTGGGGTCTCCTGCATTGCAGACAGATTATTTACCAACTGAGCTATTGGGGAAGGCCATTTACTTTCAAATGCTACCTTAAACATGTACCATAAGTGACCCTGGGTCTCAGTTTCCTCATCTAAATTATAAAGGTGACATTCAGTTCATAACACTATGAACTGAATACTAGAAGGACTGAACTGAACTGAAAGGACTATTCATCATCATGTACTAAATGAAGGAACAGACAGAAAGTACCATTATCATGCCTCTTCTCAGATTTTTAATAAACACTACAACTCCGACCACCATCTTAATATTACACCTTTCTGTGTATAAGCTCATTATGATTCAAATTCTCAGCTCTGGAAAAGTAGGACATATCCTTTAGCTTCACGCAATATACTTACCTTTGCTGCTCTCCTTGTACACACCCTTCATAAACAAAGCTAATGCAAAACCTATGATGTCTTCTAAATCCTCAAGGGGTGTTGACTTAAAAGCCTGGATAGCTTTATCATATTCACCAATGGAACTAAGAAGCAAAACATAACTTACTTTTAATATCAAAAATCATTTTGGTTTATATCATCAAAATTCAGAAATATAACTAAAGTTCTTTTAACAACTTAACCTACTTCATCTCTCAGTATTAAAGCTGCATAAAAGACTTACATTAAAATAGAAGGCATATCACTTATCTCAAACAGGATATACCAGAGGGATTTAACTTCACACTTTGCTTCTTTTAAATTATATGTGAAAATGAACAGTGCTGCTGAACTACAAATGGTATTTTTTTAAAACAAACTTGAATTAAACTCTTAAGTTATAAAAATAATTTCCAGCTGATTTTTATAATAATTTTTAAGCTTAATACATTAGCTAAAAATTACCCTGTGACCATGGGTATACCATCTTTGAGAAGTTTAGCAAGTCATAATCAAGCCTAACCTTTGTGTAAACTGGTTATCTACACATTTGTTTTTTTTGAAGGGCATACAGATATACTAAAATTCCACAGACAAAATCATACATTATCTTCTCTGTATTTAAAATGAATTAAAGTAAAAACTGTGATATATAATATTAAAGTAGAATGCCTTTTAATAACAACAACAACAACAAAAAAATCTTTTGTTTATTTAAAAATGAAGACATGTTGCCACCACCTGGAATAGACACACTGTACCTTTGAGACTCTTATTTCTGGTATCTATCACTATATTCAGAAGCTTGCTTCTATTTTTAATGTGTTTTTGGAAATCTTTTCATAAAATCCTTTTAATCTTGGAGGAGTGGCTGGGAGCTAAAAATATGGGCAATATATGCTTCTAAAATTAATTTCATGGACATAAAATAATTTAAAAATCAAACTCAAATTTTGACAAATATTTAATGAAGGGAAGCGGACTACCTTATGTGTTTATGGATATACACATGTATTTTTAAAGTATTTTTTTAATGAACACTATCTTCAAACATTTGATTACTTTTGTAGAGAAAAGAATGAAATTAGAGAAAGACACAAGGGCTTCAACTTTATTTGTAACTTTTTTTCTTTTTAAGGAAATCTGAAGCCTATTAACAGAATTTTAAGATCTGTTAAATCTGAAGGGTAACTATTCACCAAATTAATGCTCCATATTCTTACTGTATTTTGCATGTTTAATATATTTCATAATAAAAACAAAGTAAAAAGAAATCAGATGACCTATTTATAATGGGAGGTTAAATTTTCATCTAAAATAGTTACACTATACGAAACATCTAAGTAAAAAAAACAGACATTTTGTTCCATACAGTTTCTAACAACAAAAATCTTGGAAGTGACTGAGTTCTATCAACTTCTGAACACAGTTTAAAGGAATTAAAAGGAAAAACAAATAAAACAGGGAAAATCTATCTACATATCTATCTACAGATATGACTCAGTTACATGGTTATAAAATAACTGGCTACCTCTGATTTCTACTGTGTAGTTCCTTAAAAAGATGTAGATACTAATTCCAAAATACCCAACTACAATTCTAATAAATACCCCATCCCCAAAATGCACGCACAAAAATTTTTGTGTACTATCTCAAAAGGGTTTCTGGACCCTTAATCCTACTCCCAGTTTAAGAACAGACATCAAATCAGAATAAATCTAATCCACTTCCAATTAACTAGGCTTCTGCTATTAGAAAGAATAACTATGTCTTCTGTCTAGTTCACAACCCTCAGCTCTGAACTTGCTCCTCACAAAGGACACCGAGGCTGGGTATCATCACAGGAACAGGAAACTGTTAACACAGCTTGGGGTAGTAGGAATGATGCACCCTGGGCAGATGTCATCACTGTACTCATTCACATTCTTCCCACTCTTCCGGAAACTGGTCATCACTCCATAGTTCCACAGCCTCCACCAGAAAAATCTGACAAATTCACAAAATCAATGGGGAAAAATATGCTTACCATAACAATCTGCCATAATTTCTTACTGTAATATTATAAGCATCTCGGTCTTCTGCAGTCTGTAACAACAAAATTGCCCTTTAAAAAAAGGACAAAGCATTTAAAATTACCTATGTGCAATAGCATTCTTTCACTCTTCCTCCTTAACAATCTACAGATTTTTGTTTTCATTTAATTATTTAACTAGTTCCATAATAGCTTATTTATATTTTATTAAATTGGTACCACAAAAGCACTTAATAGATTTTAGACGGTTAAGAAAACAATAAAGTGGCCTCTTTTAATATGTGAAATCACTTATCATACTTGAGTTTTATATATTCCAAAAAATTTAATCTAAATGTGGGAAAAAACTGTGTTGATATTTTAAAGTTTTGACATGTTTGAAGTACATAGAATTTGATGTACATGGTACACTCTTAAAATTATTTATATACTAGTAGTTTAAGGTAGGGACTTAGGAAATTGAGTGCTTTCATATGCCTTTACCTGTTACATACAGAAAGACATTCAGGCAATCCTGAACTCAGAGAAGGGAATGAGTCATCAGGAGTCCTGAGAGGTTTAGAATAAATACGACGACGTGCTGACAGCCCACTTACCTTCTCATGCTCAGTCTCCTCTGGGCAAGTAGGAAAATGTCTCAACAACTAAAGGAGTTGGATACTTAATAATACTTTTTGTTTTTCTGTTTAAAGATTAGCCAGGGAGAAATATCCAAGAAAAGCTTTTAATGCCTCTGATACTACATGAAAACACAGTATTATAGAAATAGTAATAGTAAACTACCTGTCATAGTAAAAACTATATCTGCAGTTATATTAATACCTAATTGGTAAGTTCAAGTCACAAATACTTGTTTAAGGCAGAAAACAAGAGTGGTAATAAGTCAAAATGAGTGGTGTATATCCAGGTGATTGTGAAGTGAAGTGAAAGTCAGTCATGTCCGTCTCTTTGTGATCCCATGGACTGTATAGGACTGAATTCTTTTTTTTTTTTTCATTTATTTTTATTAGTTGGAGGCTAATTACTTTACAATATTGTAGTGGCTTTTGCCATACATTGACATGAATCAGCCATGGATTTACATGTGTTCCCCATCCCGATCCCCCCTCCCGCCTCCCTCCCCATCCCATCCCTCTGGGTCTTCCCAGTGCACCAGCCCTGAGCACTTGTCTCATGCACAGTCCATGGAATTCTCCAGGCCAGAATATTAGAGCGTAGCCTTTCCCTTCTCCAGGGGATCTTCCCAACCCAGGGACTGAACCCAGGCCTCCCACATTGCAAGTGGATTCTTTACCAGCTGAGCCACCAGGGGAGCCCAAGAATACTGGAGTGGGCAGCCTGTCCCTTCTCCAGCGGATCTTCCTGACCCAGGAACCTAACTGGGGTCTCCTGCACTGCGGACTCTTTACCAACTGAGCTCTCGGGAAAGCCTAGGTGACTGTGGAGTTGCCATTTTAGACGAAGGTATAACCAGTGTCAGACTCGCAGTATTTGTGATTAAAACGTACACCAGAAACAGGAGCAAGCATTCTAAAGCTTCCTAGTTTCTCTGTTTTAGCTTCCCTGGTGGCCCTGACGGTAAAGAATCCACCTGCAATGCAGGAGAC